TCAACGTCTAGGTTTTTACCAAACATGTTGTAATCGGATACATCGGCTAAAGAATATTCTGAAATTCCTGGTTTGTACCGATTATTTTTAGGTTTAACCTCTGTAATACCAATTATTTTTGGTTTATCGTCTCTTGTTCTTACTGTTAATTCAGGCAGCTTGTTGAATAACTGATCTGCATTTGTGTATATACAGCTTAATTTGGGTAAAACTGTAAAATTATCTGTTTTTACATTTTTAAAAACCTTTTTACCATTAAAATTATTTACATTCTCTTTTCCTCTTTTATCTTTTAGGAGTCTAGCTTCCTTAATTTGACAACCTTCCTTGCCCAAGGTGGGCCCCTTACTTTGAAAAGGGTAGTCCCCCGAAATCTCTTCTTCGGTTTGTCTTCTCGCTTGATCCCACAATCTTTTCTCTTGCTCTCTTTCTGCTTGGGTTAGGTCGTTACTGACTCCCACTTTTTCGTATTTTGGGTTTGTTTTTATATAATGGATGTTTCTAAATAGGGTGATCTTAGGTTCTGCACTAGGTAATTTTACTAGGATTGGTCTATTTAGCTTTACTTTGTTAAATTTCCCAAGTCTTTTAACCATTTTCAAATTTTCCTTATCCAGTTTTATTTTGCAGTCTGTAAAGAGCTCGTTTAGTTTTTCTTTGTCAGTATTATCTCTTACTTCTTTGCTCTCGTCATCTATTTCAGGGATCCCAAAGACGATCAGGTTATTTTCTCTTGCCTTTCTCTCATTAATTTCTTCAAGAACATTTGTTACAGTCTCCTTTCTTGTTATAGGATTGGCTGCTATATCTATCTCATTGTTTGTGGAATCGCTATCTCCTTTATTCTCGGGCTTTTGTATCTTGCTTATTTCTTCTGTTATTATGGCTTTAACTTTTTCCTCATTACAACTTTCTTCTATGATTGGTGCCTCTATTTTGCCAACTTCCTCTTGTACCATCAATTTTACCATATCGTCATTGCAGTTTTTTATTTCCTCTCTAACAATCTCCTTGACTTTATCCTCGTCACATTTATTTTCAACTGTTTTTTCAAGTAATGTAATTCTTTCCTCATAACTCTCCATTATCTGTTTGCACCTTCTTTCTATTTCAATATCGGTGACTGCATGTTGTTCCATGACTATTCTGCATTTCCCACAAAACCACATTGCATCTGTTTTACATAGCATGCTGTATTCCGCTTTTGTTTTCTTTAGACAGGTTATGCAGAAATGTTCCTTACACCTTTGGCATTCCATAAGTTGAGCCTCTGGCTCCCTGAAGATTTTGGTACATTTTGCGCATGTCCATGCTTCATCCTCATCTTGACTTGTTTTTTGTGACGATTTGGGGCCTGTGGTACTGTTTTTTCTGGTTGACGCCATACTTCTTAATTAATAAAAATAGGGCTTCCCTTTTTTTTTTTTTTTTTTTAATTATTATAATTTTTTTTTTTTTTTTTTTTTTACCTGGCTGAGGAATTGTATAAGGATTCCTTACACCAATTTATTTTTTAGTACTTTATTTTATTCTACTTTTATTTAAAGGACAAGGCTACCCTATCCTTGTCTAAAGTTCGATTTCAAATGAAGCTAGACTATCCTAATTTTGACAGGGCTTCCCTATCACGTGTTTAATTTATTTTGGGACAAGGCTTCCCCATCCGTTTGACATAAACTGCACTCTCAAATGATAGAAATAGGGCTTCCCTGTTTCCTCAATAACTATCTCTCTTTACTTATTTTTCAGGACAAGGATTCCTTATCCTCCTAAAATTTTTAGCACTGACCTTTTTAATAAAAACAAGGCTTCCTTTGTTTTTATTTCTCCTTGTTGTATATATTCCTTTCCCTTACTCAGAAGACAAGGCTTCCTTGTTTTCTGTTCACGTTTTAAATAAAACTAGGCTTACCTCTACGTAATAGGGCTTCCCTATTACTTTAAATTTTTTTTAATTTTTTTTTTTTTTTTTAATTATTATTTCTCTGTTAGAATATGCTTTTTTGCTTTAAATTTGAAGACAAGGCTTCCTTGTCTATGGAACTGAAGTACCTATCTATAGAGTCAATATTTCACTTCGTTATGTACAGAACAGGGCTTCCCTATTCTGTCTTGCCTCCCCAATAATTTACTATGCCCAGACAAGGCTTCCCTATCTGGGTTTATTATATATATATATATATAATAATAACAGTTCCCTTTTACTTTATGCAACTGAAACAGGGCTTCCCTATTTCAGTGACTCCTCCTTAACAGGTTTCAGACACTTCTAGGGATAGCTCCACCATTTTGTAAACCCATAGTTTAGCTAGCGTTCTATTTGGGTGGATGCCGTCTGACAATAACTTATAGTTTTTCCTGTACCTCACCCTGGTTTTGTTTTTGGGTTTGTTCGATATTATTTGGTCTTGTGAAAATCTGGGTGCTCTATACTTCTTATTAAGTAATTTTAATTGACTATTATAGTAGTCTACTTGGTAGCACAGTTCTTTATCCAAGCTACTCGCTTGTGTTACTGATCTAAACCCTTTTGACTTATCAATTACTAATGCCGGGTAATGCCTCTTGTTTCTTTCCTTTTTTGTTACAATTCTGGTACCACTATACTTTTTCACTACTAAGGACCCGTATGAAATTATAAGGCGTATTACGCCTGGAAATAAGGCGTAAACCAGGCGTAAGTGGTAGTTACGTGTCTAGATCCAGGCGTAAGGGAGCAGGAAACGTACATTTGTAGTCCTTACTGCGTAGAAAAAAGTGGTAAACCTGGCGTAAATTGAAATAAGCAAGGCGTAAATTTTCTTACGGGCGTAAAACTGTTGGTATGGCGTAAATCATAATACCCATAATGCTTTGTTTGAAGGATCATGGGAATTTTTTTTCAAAATTTGGCTCTTTGGTTTTAGTTTGCAAGAGTTGGACTTAATGCAGCTTCATACATTCAGGGATAATTAGCTTGTTTTGTGCTTTTTGGAAGAATTTGGAAATATGGAATCAAATTGATTAATAAAAATTGTGAAAAAAATGGAAACTAATACATGGTAAATAATAATTATGCGAGTATATTACCTAAGTTATTAAGTTTTAAGTTCTGACAGTAATTTTGAAATCCCAAAACCTTTATCCTTGGATAATAACATTAAAATCTTTTAAGTGAAGTAAAATTGCAGTATTATCATTTATATTTTAAAGGACATTAATTTATAAAAAACTTAGTTAATCAAAATGCTTAAGTTTTATTTCAAGAAAAATTAATTGTCATAATTCTTATTTAAACTTAAACTTATTTGAGCCAGTGTCTGTCTAAAATGTATTTATTTATATATTAGCTTCTTCAATGGTTAATATTTCCAGTTTTATGTCAAATAATGAGAAATTAAAGCAACAGTACAGAAGTTTGCATTAAATACACAAAAGTACACAGCTAGGGTAATACACTGATTTGAAATAAGTGTAGTATTATTTAAGGATATTACGCCTGGTTTATTTATTGACCAGGCGTACTCATTTGCATATTACGCCTGGTTTTCTCTGGACCAGACGTACTCATTTAAATATTACGCCTAATTTTACGCCTGGTTTCCGCCTCAGTTACGCTTGGTTTCCGCCTGGTTTACGCCTGGTTGACGCCTGGACATGCATTCCTTAAACACTGCAATGACGCCCGGATAAAGTATGATTTTTACGCCTGGTTTCCGTGTCATATACGGGCGTCACAGTTCGTACAGGGAGTAGTTTGATGGTTTTTTCTGATTGTTGTTTTGTTCTAATATGTCTTTATTTTTCTTCCCTTCTCTGATTGTTTTATTAAATGTGGAAATTGAATAATATGGGCATTCAAGAAAGATTATAGTGACATATTTGAATCTTGTAAGTATTTTGTCTCTTAGTTCTCTATAGCCTGTTAGTATTGACTCTATATTTTGATAGGGGTAATTTCTTAGGTATGTGTATTTTCCCTTTGTGGTAATCTCACAAGTTCCAAACCAGATTAGAAAAATTGGGTCTTTTTGTTTCAGTTCTTCTAGTTTTGCAAAGAGGTTTTTTAGGTGCTCATCAGTGGTGGCTGTAGTTCCGCTCTTGGCTATTATGTGGAACTTGTCACGGACGCTGTCTGGGACCACTTTATCTACACTAAACCCCTTGCTGTCCGTGAAAAGCACGGTTTCTCTTGAAAGGCCCTGCCTTTTAAATAGGTCATAAACCCTTTTGTATTCTTTTATTATCTTGTTCACTGACATGAATTTCTATTGCTTATGCAATGTCAAAATTCGGATATACAAAATTTCAATTTCAAAATAAAAAAAAAAAAAAAAAAAAAAAAAAAAAAAAAAATCCAATATGGCGGCAACAGGCCTAGTGTCAATGCACAATTTTCAAAGAGGATTTTTCACTATTCGTCACTAATTAATCCATATTTACATTTATATACAGTTATTTATGGCTTATTTACTGAAAATATTTGACTTATTTGACAACTGACTCACAAAAACACACAGAAAACTTATCTTTTTTTGACTTTTTGCAGGAGCAGAAAAATCTTGACCATGCCGACCGGAAGTCACGTGGATTGTTTGATTAGTTCAAACGAAAAAAAATGAAATTCAGATGCATGCAATCTTTGCAACACATAAACATATTGTATTGTAAGACATTTGGCCGAGATTTAAGTTAAAATTATAAAATAAATATTCATTTCGTTTCATTTCGTTTCGTTTTGCGCTATTTCGTTTGTATCGTCAGGAACATATATATATTGATATATATTAGATATACTGTTCCCAGGTATCGTTTAGTTTTGTTTTGTTCCGTTCCGTTTCGATTTCGTTTCGCACTTTACAGATACCCCATAATGCATGCAACTTTTTTTGCACCGGAACCTTGCCACCAGAGTCATATAATATACAATTATATTATATGTCAATGATTTTGGTCACCAGTTTGGGCTCATCAATAGTGAGACAAATTGAGTCTGTTTCTGTCCCCTACATCAAGCATCCCCTGATTCCCGATTACATAATTTTAGCCTATCAAAATGTTTTGCCGTCTTGCAAAACCAAATGACATACGGACAATTTTACAGAAATCATTTTCTATATCATCTCAGGTAATTTTAAAACTCCACACCTCAAACCATACAATGCTTTGCGTATGATAAAGGTAACGGGTGCCGGAAAAAACGAACCTGGGTCCGTTCGCCCAAAAACACGTTCGCTCCCATTCACGCTCGCCCCTTTTCACGTCCGCCCCCTACACGTTCACACCCTGGTCCGTTCGCACCCTTTTTTATTTTTACTGTGTTAAATAATTTTTCAATCTTTTTTGGTTAGTTTATTGCTATAAATATTTATTTTGTTCATTGTTTCAAAATGACGTGACTTTCTAAAAACGATTTTTGTGTTGAATAATTTTTCAATTGTGTTTTAATTGGTTATTGTATCGGTATAATAATTTTTTTTTCATCGTTTCAAAAAAAGTGATATGTTTTGTGTTGAATATTTTTTTGATTGTGTTTTGGTTAGTGTATTGCTATAAAAAAAAATTCCATTGTTTCAAAATAAAGTGACTTTCTAAAAAGGTTTGTTGTTGAATATTTTTTTAATGTTAAGATACAAAACCGCTATTAAACTCAACAACAACATTTTGAATTTTCATTGTTTTTGGCGAGCCTTCGACTTTTGTCTAAAAAGCGAGACATAGCGATCCTACATTCCGTCGGCGTCCACAAATATTCACTCTGTGGTTAAAGTTTTTGAAATTTTAATAACTTTCTTAAACTATCCTGGATTTCTACCAAACTTGGACAGAAGCTTGTTTATGATCAAAGATAATATTCAAAAGTAAATTTTGTAAAAAAAAAATTCCATTTTTTCCGTATTTTACTTATAAATGGACTTAGTTTTTCTACCAGTTAACATTACATTCACTCTGTGGTTAAAGTTTTTAAAATTTTAACAACTTTCTTAAACTATCCTGGATTTGCACCAAACTTGGACAGAAGCTTGTTTATGATCATAAGATAGTATCCAGAAGTAAATTTTGTAAAAAAAATCCAGTTTATCCGTATTTAACTTATAAATGGACTTAGTTTTTCTTCCAGTTTACATTACATTCACTCTGTGGTTAAGGTTTTTTAAAATTTTAACAACTTTCTTAAACTATCCTAGATTTGTACCAAACTTGGACAGTGGCTTGTTTATGATTAAAAGCTAGTATCTAGAAGGAAATTTTGTTAAAATTTTGTTCCATTTTTTCCGTATTTTACTTATAAATGGACTTAGTTTTTCTTCCAGTTAACATTACATACAGTCTGCAGTTTAAGTTTTTAAAACATTTATTAGATTCATAAACTATCCTGGATTTTTACCAAACTTGGACAGAAGCTACTTACAATCAAAAGATAGTATAGAGAGGAATATTTTTATTAATTTTTTTCCTCATTTTTGTTGAGCCTGCGATTAACAGCATAAGTAGGCGAAACACTGGGTTCCGCAGAACCCTTACAAATTTTTACTCATACCAAGCTAAATTCATGCTAACTACATGCAGAGTTAGTCATCAAAGCTAGTTAAAACAACAATCATGATTTTCAAACACATAACAATAACACCAAGTTTGGCTGTGTAAACAACATATTAACAGTAATCATACATAATTAACATATAATAATTAATCATCAAATCAATTTAAAACAATATTTCATTTAAAAATTCAAGAATTTTTTTTTATGACATCTTATAATTCATCAGGTTTTTGAATAAAAAAAAAAGGGTGCTAATGGACCCAGGGGGCGAACGTGTGGGGTTTCGAATGTGTAGGGTGCGAACATGTATTGGGCTCGAACGGACCCGATACTGGAAAAAACATGATACATTTTGAAGGGATTAAACAGGGGAAAAAGCATTATTGTGTGATTAAAAAGAAATTTAAATGACATTTACATTGAAATGAAATATGAGAAAAAATCTCTTATAAAATATTTTTGGAAAATGAAAAAAAATAGGGATCTAACAACATATATATGAGGCAAGTGCATATACATGTCCTTGTCTCTGAAAAAAAAATGTTTGCCTATATACCTTAATATAACACAAGGTACTAAATTCACATTTTTGAAAAATGACAATTGGTCACAAACTTTCGTTATATTTCGATTCATGGGTTGTCTACCCCACTAAAACTTGTTACGCCGTAAATCTACATTGATTTATCTACACAATGTTGTATGACATGCCTACATTTCTTGTCGGAATCATTTGTAGCAGGCCTCCCAAGTATGCATACCTGTCAAACTCTGAAACTGAAAATGCAGGTCATCACCTGCATTGAAGAAGAAAATGTCAGGTCATAATGCGTACAAACTTTTTCGGTCCAATATTAGTATTGAGAGTTTTTTTTTATTACTATAACATATACATGCACCACTGAGTTTCCTAAAAATAATCACTTTCGTATTTGTTAAGTATATAAATATTTATCATTAATTAAATATCTTTCTAAAGCAATGCTTTTATTCAAACTAGTTTACTTCTTTTTATAAATGAATGTCATAAACCCCAGCTATACATGTAATTAGAAATCAATTATAGCTAATGTGCTCCTATACACAGGAGGAAGATAAATAGAAAGAAGTTAGTGTGTTTCCTTTCAGTGGAGTCAGTGTAATATCTAGAGCATATGGATTTTGATTTATAGCATTTACATTTAAGTGATAACGAAATTATTCTCTCCAAAAGAAATGTATTAAAAGGTTCAAATTGTTTTAAAATGATTTTTACAGGATATTTGATATTTGTAAATGGCAAATCTTTTAATCAGGACATAGAATTGTATGTCAAGCTTGACTGGCTTCAACTTTCTGGGGTACAATTACCAAACAATCCTCAAAATTGTTACTTTTCAATCAAATGTAATGTTTTGATAGCGGTCATTGGTATGGTACAATAAGCAAATTCTAATTTTAATTGTTTACCTTTTCAAAGGAAAAACGCAGAGAAAACCGAAAGTATATTTGATTTCTAAATACCAGAAAGAATACTGCTCAGAAATACGGGTGAAAACAGGTCATTTTCTGAAACCCAGGGTTATTTGAATACCCGGCGGGTTTTTAAAAAATCCTGTGTGAAGGGGTAAATTCTCGGGTGTAACCCACAGAATATGGGTCAGTTGACAGCTATGCAAGTATGTCAACTGTAATTATTTCGTCTTCTCTTAGTCCTTTGGAAATATTTATCTTGCTGTAAAGGGTTAATTTAATATAATTGTCCCTTTGGTATCTTTCCCCTCTCTTATACACATATCGGTTTTAGATTTGGTCAAATCTTATTGCTAAAAATAAATGTTTTTGGAGTTATCTCAATTTTATATGTAGATTCCAGAGAGAGTCTGAATGACATTGATGGAATGGGAAAATTTGAGTCTAAAAATAGAAACTTGTAACTCATTAGACATACCAAAAATATTTATTATTATCTCATAAATTCATAGATATAAAGTTGTTATATATAACATGTATAAATTAAGAAAAATAAAAAAATAAGTAGAAAAAAAAACAATAGATTGTGGTATTCAGATATGTACAAATTTACGAGAAATGATCGATACGATCCAAAGATACAAATTTAGGGGAAATAAAAGCATGCTGCTGTATGTTGCTTGAGGAAAATTCTGAAATAGAAGAAAACATTTCTGGCATTCTCATAATTGTCATCACATGACAGACGAAGTTTATCATTGCCATATTTTTGAAGGATTTTTTTCGGGAAAAGTGGTATAAGGACCCAAGTGGACACTTCTACCTTAAATGCACCCTTCAGAAGCATATAATACAAAATAGAATATTAACCGTACATTCCATTTTAAAACTAAATTATCTGAGTTATATCCCCTTATAATACTTAGTTGAAAAAAATAATTATACAGTTAACTCTCTTTGTCTAAAAACTCGGTTGACTAGAAATTACGGATGAGTTGAGGTTTTCACGTGGTCCCGAACTTAAATATATGTATTTTGACTCCTGATGAGTCGAAATTGGATGAGTCAAAATTTCGGTTGACTCGAACTAAATTTCGGTCCCAATCTTCACAAAGGCATTCAAAATTTATTATTTATCTCGAACTAATACACAAATGTTAAAACATGACCTTGGGGATTTAAATGGATTGAAGAGTCAATCTGACAATACACGTGTAATTAAACTTCCTGTCACTGACCACTGTATTGATTTATGACATTCTTTTTCCACGAGTGTTTTAAAATACCTAAGATTGTCTTTGATCACCATGATAAATAATTAGTGATACACTGTTGGAATAGGATCCCAGTTACAGGATACTAGTCCAGTAGCCACGAATGAAGTCCCTTAATAAATCTACCATCTTTTAAATGGGTTATTGTACCGGGATGAAAATTATGTAAAGATGCTTAAATTTGTAGTATATCTAAAGGGTATTCATTAATTTTTCAACTTCTGTTAAATTTTAAGTGGTTCTGAAATGTATACAAATGGTATAGGGTGGATGATTATCTGAATAAATGGTCCAAATTTTATTTTCGATTTTAACCAGGAAGTTAATAAAATGACCCTATTAATACTCAAAACAGTATCGGTCTCTTAAATGCCAGTCATGAACTTTCAAGAATTCTCTGAGAAACCATGAAGGGGTCTACTAGTATGAGAAATTAATTGAAATTTTGCAGACTAATAATATGGAATAAAAAATCTGTCCCTCAATTTTGATAAAATTGCATTGAAGTAATGGGGGAAATAATTGGGTCCTCGTTCCTGTCAAGGGTAAGGTACACCTGAAGGAATTAAGCAACAAAAATATTTGAAATACTTTAAAAACAATTAACCTTAATCATACACTAATGAGCTTGGTTGTGTATGAAGTAGGGATTAAGACTTTCGTTGGTGATCAACTCAAAACTACTCAATGGGAGTCTTTAATCTTTTTGTATTTTCTCTTGCCGAAAAGGATTGAAATTAATAGAAAATGAAAAGAAATCTAAATTTTCTAAAATCTCTTGTATACAAGAAAGAACAATTTTGTCAACTTTAAATAACACTAAGATTGATTGTAAATTACTCTCTCGGCTAAAAACCACAGGAAAAAATAATAACTGTAAAAAGAAATAGATAAGAGACGAAAACATAAAATGTTATATTGATCCCTTACCCATATTCATCCAGTCTTAATTTTTGCCTTACTAAACTAAGCAAGTGTTGTGTCCCTTTGTCTGTCAAACTTCCGCTTTTCGCTTCAGTTTAACTACGGGTATCTCGAAATATTTCTCTGGTCCGGCTGACTTCGAGATAACGAGAGTTGACTGTATTTTAATTTTTTGTCTAAATTGTAGCTTATTCCCCTTTTAATAGATATTATAGGTTACAAAATCATTATCCACAATGAACATCAAAAAAAAGATTCATCATATCATTGTCACTGTATTTTTGTGAAAACCCTTATCCTACATCCATTTGTATTTGAATCTGTGGGAATATTATATCTAGTAACCAAACCACATCATCATCTCTCAGTAATCATGATAATGGTGTTTGAATCTTTCAAGTGATAACTCATAACTTCAATCTACATCATCACCTCTCAGTAATGTTATTTGAATTTTACAGGTGAAAAATAATCACAATCATTCCCATCATCAACATCCTGTCCACCATCCACCACATAAAGTCACAGTACTGGGAGCAGGTGGTGCTGTATCTCAACCATTGTCTCTTCTACTGAAAAGTTCCTCCAAAGTCGGCAAGCTATGTTTGTACGATATTGATCACACACCAGGTGTTGCTGCAGACTTGAGTCACATAGATACAAAAACTGTTGTAACTGGTTACCTAGGCACTGAACAGCTGGGGCCCTGTCTTACAAAATCTGATGTTGTACTAATAACAGCAGGAATCCCTAGAAAACCAGGTAAATTAAATGATTATGCAATAATCAGCAAAACACTACATAAAAAACTAATCTTAAAGCTTAGCAACAAAACTATACCAAAAACTGGGAATGAAGTAATTAGTTCCTGCTCCATTATTCATTGTAGTCATTTCATGTCATGGATTTTTCTAGCATTCCACAGAGTCCATTATTCGGACCCCTTCCCAATGCCAGAACCCCTAAATTTTTCCCAATTTTGGAAGGAAAAATTCCCAGACCATCTCAAAATTTCAAACAAAAATAAATCCAGAAATTATGCTAACCGAAACTACGCTCTTCACTTTGAAGGTGAAAAAGGCAGTAATTTCTTATCACATGCGCCCTTTAAAAAGTCTGGTATTTTGATACTAAAATAAAATATTTTTAAAAATGTTTCTGTTATTGTTATTTTCACCAAAAGGATCATTTCTAATGAACTATACACACTAAAAACTCACATCTGGTATATTTGTTGTTTTCCCCAATTTGATTGAAAATCTCGCAAAAATTTCCCAAAACTGCCCAGGGTCCTGTTTCTCTACATATCCTTGTTTGATAATCAGAAACAGATTGTTTTCTCTTTTAAATAGGTATGACTGAGGATGAACAGTTCAACACAAATGCTGGAATTGTCAGAGATTTAGTGTCAGCCATTGGAGATTTCTGTCCAAAAGCAATGATCTGTATCATTACCAACCCTGTAAGTACAATAAATGTAACATGATGTAAGTCAAGAGCTGAAAACAGGAATTCAAAGTTATAGTAGTAACAGCATGTACCAATTTTTATTCAGAAATCAACATTTATTTCATCATTTATACTAATTATTATTTGACACTGAACGTCAACCAATCAACAATCAATCAATCACCATTACTCTCCTTATGAGAGGAGCAGCCTAGTGTGCAAGAAATCATTGGTTTTTGCTTCAAGCAAGATTTATAAAACAGATTTTAGTTTTATATCAATGTAGCATTGTTTGCACTTATCATTGAAGTTGAAAAATACTGATAAATCTCATATAAATCTATGAAGGACCCTCTTGGTTACTTAGTTTTAAGAAATTTTGAAATGGGATAGTGAAATAATATGGAAAAGGTAGGCACTTCTCAGGTGAAACAAGCAATATTGTATCACCTTAACATATCAATTTGATATATCAATAAAAAGAGATGTGGGAGTATAAATGAGTGGTGTAGCTACTATTGATGCACTTGTATGCGCAAACAAAAAAGAAAGAAAAAAAATGTTGAAAGATTTTTTTATTAAAGAATGATTGAGAAAGAGGGAGAGAGAATCGATAAATACAATTTATTTGTTGATACCTTTTGTACTAATAATAATACACTGACTTCCATATTTCACCATCAGTTACATCAGTTTTTAGACCTTCTTCTAAACGTACTTAGAGATCGATTGGTTAATTCAGAGGAAAGGTTTCTTGCCCAGCTACAAATTCCACAAGATATTAAAGAGTGAAAACGCAAAGATCAGTTGTTTACATCATGTACATGAATATATCAAGCCTATGAGCCTCTCGAGATCCAAAGATGGGCTGCTCGTTGGAATATTTATCCCTCAAAGATACCAGATCAACTATGGGAAACATTGGAAATGACAAAACAAAGAATTGTAATAAGTACTGTATTCTTCAAATACTTCTTACGATGCCACCAACAGCTGCAATTGCAACTAAAACGGGTTAAAACCTATCTCAGATCCATAATGGGACAAAAATGGCTATCTTCTCTAACACTATTGCACTTTCATGCTGATTTGTTATTGACATATTTGATTATACCAAACAAAGAAAAATGTTGCTTGCATAAATGAAACCAGTAAATTGTTGTTATTTGCAAATCACTTATCAGTGAACAAGTTAAAAACCAGATGTTGACCCCTAGACGTCTTATATTATTTTTTTGTGTTGTTGGTTGCTGTCTTATATACCCCACATCTTAGTTAATTCACATTAAAAAAATTGGAGGCTACAAATTTCAAAAATTTGTTTCACATTGGTATGTGATTATGTTCTTTATCCAAGATGAAGTAAGAAGGTCAACTGTTCTATCTTAATGATTTTGTCATTTTTGAAATTAGGTGTCAATGAAAGATTGTTGATTGTCTCTGCAGCTTTTATTCACAACTTTCTTGCTCGGGCCGGTTTAGAGCTTGATATATATAATTTAGACAGTTGTCCATTGTTGAAGGACGTTTGTTAATATCAATAAACTGTTTATGCCCCTGTCGCAGTGGAGGGGGCTTGAATGTTACCCTTGTCTGTCTGTACATCTGTACGTCCTTAAGTATGTCCCAAAATTAGTTTCTATCCTCTAATTTTAGTGTGCCTCAACCAAATGTTATGAAACTTATACACAATGCTTATTACCACAAAACACAGATCAAGTTTGAATTTGGGTGGCGTCACTTTTACCGTTCTAGAGTTATGCCCCTTTACAGAGGGAAAAATTGCTGAATTTTCGTTTTCATTTTCATACTTTAGTTTGCCTCAACCAAATGTTATGAAACTTATACACAATGCCTATTACCACAAAACTCAGAATAAGTTTGAATAAGGTGGCATCACTTATACTGTTCTAGAGTTATGCTCCTTTATATATGGTAAAATTACTGAATTTTTCGTTTCCGTTCTCTTACTTCAGTTTGCCTAAACCAAATGTTATGAGACTTATACACAATGCTCATAACCTCAAAACTCAGATCTAGCTCAAATTTTGGTGGCATCACTTTTACAGTTCTCTAATTATGTCCCGTTATAACGTTACATGCAAGCAGGGGTGTCATATGTGTCCCATAGACACATTCTTTATTTAAATATAACAAATACCAAGTTTTAAATAATTTTTTTTTAAACAAGTAGTGAATATTTAAAGAGACTGCCAAGTAATTTTTTCGTCAACATCAAAATTCTTAAAAGTACAAACTAAAATTTAAACAAAAACTAATTTTAAAACATTTAAGATGCAATGATTTCTTAACAACAAAGATATGAAGAAAAATAATTAAAGGACAATTCTCATTCTTGATTGCTATATAAAATAATATTACCTTGAAACGATGAATTGACATGTTTTAGGTAAATTCAACATTGCCTCTTGCTGCTGAAGTTTTAAAGAAGAAGGGTGTATTTGATGAGAGACGTTTGTTTGGAATAACATCATTAAACTTAACCAGGGCAAAAGCATTTGTGGCAGAAGCAGTGGTAATGACTTTTTAGCTAACCTGGCATGAAGTGTTGTAACCTGGCTTACTATGGTTCTTTGATTACAAAGAACTTGCAATTTATAAAATAAAATTCTTTGTTAAACAAATCAAAAGTTTAAAACATAACAAAACATGTCTACCTATATACACATCACTGCTCAGGAAGATTTTTTTCAGTAAATTAAGATAATAAAAGTAAATTTATGCAGTTAATCTATTTGGAGATCACTTTTGTTAATAGACTTTTGCAGTGAACCTAGGCCTAGTAAAGAAGAGATATTTTTACCACGTACATATGCAGTTTGGGTCAAAATATCAGTTTTTAAAAAGTAAATAATCAAAGAGTTATTTTGTTTGTCATATTTGTATAGGTTTAAATATCATACAAAATCATTGTGAATGTATTTAAAAAAAATGTTTGAATTATTAATGTTGAGAGGTAGATAATATATAAATTTAGGTCCATATGGATGTTTATACATGAGCTTAATTTTCAGGGATGCAATGTCGCCAAACTAGTGGTACCAGTTGTCGGAGGAAATAGTGGTATTACTATTGTACCTTTAATATCACAAACTATACCTCCTGTAGATTTATCACAGGTAAGTACCAGTAATTATTGTCACTTAGTTCATCTGATTGATATCTATGGAAACTATGAAGCTGATGTCAATAACTTAAATTTTCACGGATGGAGTGTGTCTGAATTACTGTAAATTCAGAAATTATTGCGATGTTTTTATTATTGCGAAAAATGCGAAAGGGTTATAATCGCAATAATTTAAACTCGCATTTTGAAATTTTGTATATGAATTAAACAGGATTTTTCTCAATATCGCAAAAATTTAAATCGTATTTTAGTCTAAAATGACAAAATCGCAATTATAAATGCACGCAATAATTTCTGAATTTACAGACATCTTTTTTGGACAAAGTCCCACACATTGTCACTCTTCCTGCTGAAGGTCTGTGGTTCTCTCTGGGCATTCCAGCTACTTCCGCCAACAAAAACTGGTTGACACAAAATAGCCAAAAGTGCTTTAAGTGGTGTTAAACAACACCAATCAATCAATCCATCTAACATGTACACAAACTTATTGCCTCCAAACCACTGTCAGTTGAATCTTCAGTACCTGTAATGATTTCTTAAAAACGTTTGATTTGGGGAAGATGCTTGCCATCTGTCCATAAATCTTAAAGGCTTAAAAGTTTTCTTGATTTCAAATTCTCTTTCTACTTTTCTGTGACATCTGAGTGTTAACTCCTGTTAGTATTTATAATTACTTGGCATTATTTTTATCATTGCTGTGTTTACAATCTGATAGAACCTGTACCATCTTGACCTCTGTCTGTCAGTCAGTCCGTTCACCCCTACGTCCAACCGTGCCATGAAAAACATACAATTAAGAGCCTTCTGAAATTTATCAGACTTCATTTAAACATGCTTGACCATGTGAAGTGTTTTCAGATTCATCCCTCATCAACTTCCTGTTTACTGATTTCTTAAAGCTGGGCTATCATTAGTGAGCAGTAGCTGACAGTTTTACTTGTCTTTTCAGGAAAGCAGAAAGAAAATAATACATAAACTACAAACTGCGGATACAGAGATTTTAGAGACAAAGGCTGGGACTGTAAGTAAACTTTAAAAATACTTGTATCACTTCACAATTAGTTTCCCTGAGCTTGAGGTGTATACTCTTATATTTTTACAGTTATGATGTACTTTCTTGAGGCAATCTCTCTGATGTGTGCCACTTCATTGTCATACTTTAGACCAGTTTGTTTAATGAAATATCTATGCAGTCCACCCAATTACGCACCCTATTCATACATAATTTCCTGTCAAGTTATCTAACAAATATACTGGTGCCTGTATGTATATATTGTATGTGTATTTTAAAGGGATTTTGTTTGATGATTTATGATAGTATTTGTTAGATTTCTTTGACAGATATAATATGTAATATGTTGATATAACCCTGCAGCTGTGTTCTTCAATGGACAGATGTAGCTTGATTGACATTAAGCATAGAATTTCCCTTAAGGGCATACGATACAGCTTTTGCTCCGTCTTGAAAGCCTTACTGTGAGACGAACCATATCCTTTTACTTTCAAAGTACTTTTATTCATGGGTATCAATTTTCATGGTGTGATCAAAAGTTACATGTTCATGGGTTCTAAATTTGTAGATTTTACTTTTCTGAAGAAAAAAAATAGTGTGAAGAATTTGAAACCATCCCAAAACAAAGATTTTTGAGAATAGTCATATGTTGTTTTATAATAATTTGTTGGACAATGCAAAATAAGGTGTTCATTTTCACTTACTTCATCGTATTTCATTACTGAAAACATTCATCATTTTTTTTATGAAATAATTGCTTTTGGAAAAAACTGATTTATCTATGTTTACAAATTGTCTCGATCAAAGGAAATTGCAAAGTAAACATTTCAATTGTTGCACACGTGTAATCATAAGTTATGACACTGATTAACCCGAGATCGATTGATCAACAGATTACCAATCATCAAAGGTGTTAATTGGGCAATAAACATGTCACTTAAAGAAAACGGTTACATAAAAATGTGACATATGTACTTTGAATTGTGGAATTAATTCTTATGAAATAGAAAAGCAAGCCCAATATAATTTTTTTTTTTTCGTATGAAAATTATGGAGGTAAAATGAACACTCCATGGTCGCATATCATCACCGGAAGTCTGACTTTCATCGATTAAAACTATTTTTTCATGAGAGTTATAGGTTTAGGATTTTAAAAGATTAAATGGGTAAAATCCTGTCTGAAGTTGTAAAAATAGTTCATAGTGCATTTCTGATAGTTGATGTATTCTCTATATTATATGCCCATATCCATGTAGTCAAAATTACATGGGGATCTTTCCATGTTTTGATTTTAAATTAGACAAAAGTTATTATATTCGTTGGAAACTTAAATTAGTGGATAAAGCATTCCACGAAAACCACGAAAATTGGTACCCCACGAATAAAAGTACTTTCACAATATTTCCATTATGTGAAAGGAATTGTTGTATTTGAAGTACAGAAGACACAATTGTACAATCTACAAGAATAAAAGTTGCCACAGCAGTTGTGTATGGAAGCTTATCATTATAAATTCTCTATGAATTAGAACTCCATGAGATGAACCAACAACATTGTGGTTACTTTCAAAACAGTCTCCTGAAGTGGATACTTTGGTATGCAGGGTTGTCAATTAATGGAAACTACTTCAAAGTTTATGAATGTTACAAATTTTGCTATCAGTTATATTTTATAGTTAAAACAGTATGTTAAACTTCTGGTTTCATCTAGGGTTTGGTGCTGTCAGTGTTCAAAAGTGCTTGTATGATTTGAATTATACTTTCTGCTTTCTCTGAATTATCTATATTAAAGAAGAATCCTGCCCAATACAATCTAGACCTTGTTTTATGCAGGGTAGAAATGAATGAAAATGCAGTCAAACAATTTTTTTCATACAAGGTGAACTTTTGAAAAACTTGTAGATCTACAAAAATATCACTAAAATCTCCTAAAAAATGTTCTAATTGTATTAAAAGGTATTTTTGCAACACTTTGCTAATATAGAAATAGGAGTATAATGTAAATATTAAAAAAAAGAAGACTAAAGTGTTATATATATATTCTTTTAAATTGGATAACAGTATTTTATTTAAAGCTTAAATTTAACAGGGTTCAGCAACTTTGTCTATGGCACATGCTGCCTCCAAGTTTACACTTTCCCTGTTAGCAGCTATAGATGGAGAGGAGGGACAGGTAGAAAGTGCATATGTAAAGTCAGATGAAACAACAGCAGCTTACCTGTCAACACCACTGTTACTAGGGGTAAGTATTGGGGAATGTATATTCTGATGAAACACCAGCAGCTTACTTGTCAACACCATTGTTACTGGGGTAAGTATTGGGGATGTAAAGTCAGACGAAACAACAGCAGCTTACCTTTCAACACCACTGTTACTGGGGGTAGGTATTGGGGAAAGTAAAGTCAGAGGAAACAACAGCAGCTTACCTTTCAACACCAATGTTACTGGGGGTAAGTATTGGGAAATGTTAAGTCAGAGGAAACAACAGCAGCTATCTTGTCAACACCATTGTTACTGGGGGTAAGTATTGGGGAATGTTAAGTCAGAGGAAACAACAGCAGCTTACTTGTTGACACCACTGTCACTTGGGGTAAGTATTAGGAAATGTTAAGTCAGAGGAAACAACAGCAGCTTACCTGTCAACACCACTGTTACTGGGGGTAAGTATTGGGAATGTAAATTCAGAGGAAACAACAGCAGCTTTCTTGTCAACACCACTGTTACTGGGGGTAAGTATTGGGGAATGTTAAGTCAGAGGAAACAACAGCAGCTTACTTGTTGACACCACTGTCACTTGTGGTAAGTATTAGGGAATGTTAAGTCAGAGGAAACAACAGCAGCTTACCTGTCAACACCACTGTTACTTGGGGTAAGTATAGGGGAATGTAGAGTCAGAGGAAACAACAGCAGCTTACCTTTCAATACCACTGTTACTGGGGGTAAGTATTGGGAATGTAAGGTCAGAGGAAACAATAGCAGCTTACTTGTTAACACCACTGTTACTGGGAGTAAGTATTGGTGAATGTAAAGTCAATGGAAACAACAGCAGCTTACTTGTCAACACCACTGTTACTAGGGGTAAGTATTGGGAATGTAAAGTCAGAGGAAACAACAGCAGCTTACTTGTCAACACCATTGTTACTGGGGCTAAGAATTGGGGAATGTAAAGTCAGAGTAAACAACAGCAGCTTACTTGTCAACACCACTGTTACTGGGGGTAAGTATTGGGGAATATAAAGTCTGATGAATCTAAAGCAGTTTGCATTACAACATCACAGTTACTGGGAGTAAATGTAGGGTAAGATAAAGTCTGATGAAACTAAAGCAGCTTAAATTACAACACCACTGTAACAGGGAGTAAGTATGTGTGGAATTTAACATCAGATGATAAATGCAGCTTACTTGACAACACCACTATTACTAGGAGTATAAGTATATGGGGAATTTAATGTCTGATAATAAATGCAGCTTACTTGACAACACCACTGATACTAGGAGTAAGTTTATGGGATTTTAACATCACTGTTACTGGGAGTAAGTATATAGTCACCACAATGTAAAATTGGCATCCGGTTTTTGATCAAATATTTTTGAATTATCCATTGTGTTCTTTTGAGATGACGTTTTTGACTTTGCAGAACCTAAAATGATCTAAAAAAACACTACTGACCTACAATTTATTGTGATTGTACTGTATAATCCTTACCTTCACATTTTTCGAAACTGTTTTCTATTGTAAACCTACCATCTTGGTTTCTGTGAGGATCCTTTACTGTCAATTCAGAAATGATTGCATGGTTTTCATTATTTGGATTAATGGGAATGGGTGAGTATCGCAATAATAGTAATTCGCATTCTGATATCTGTTACATATATCTATATGCAGATTTTCTTGAAATAGCAATAATTAATTTGCAATTCAGCTATTCTTCAAACATTGCAATAATACTTAAATGCACACAATAATTTTTGAATTAACTGTATTTACATGACATACGTTACTCTCTGGTAATATTTGTGTCATTTATGTGATACAGTTTTCCACCCTTTTTAATAGCCTATCGTCTGCAATAGAATATTTCTCTTGACTTACCCTCTAATTGAACAAAAGTTTTGAGTGGTCTGAAAAATTTGTAAATAAACTGAACGTGAAACTCCACGGCAAACCTTTCTGGTGAAAACAATGTTGAATACCATCATAAAAAATAGTCTTTGATAATGTGAAGGTAAGGATTATGCAGTGCAATCACAATAAATGGTAGGACAGTAGTGTTTTTATTTTACTGTTAGTAAGTAATACTGCATAGCGTGTGTATAATTTCTAATGAGACACACACAGCTTATATGACAAAACCTGTGTAACTATAGTGTTTATAAGTTCTAAGGAAACACAAGGAGCTTATATGACAACACTTGCATTACTAGGAATAAGTATAAAGTTTTGATAAAAGTCTGATGAAACAAAAGCAGCCTAGATGACCATACCACTGTTACTGGGAGTAAAAATATATGCATGTGGTTGATACATTAGAAACAAAATCATCAAACAGCATTGTTTTACTGCCTTTCCTTTAAAAAAATCAAATAAAAGATATACATTTTTGTTTTATATGAAACTTTTATAATTTAGTTTTGATTAGAAAATCTGAAAGTTCTTTTTCAATATCCACTAAAGGATTTCATTGAAAGCTTTAATAAGGACAAACTTTAAAAAAAAAGGGAAGATTTTTGTATTGCAAGGAAGAGGTTTAAAACATGAAAAAAAATTTCATTTAAAGGACAAATTTTAAAGTAGAAATGCTTTTTTTCAGGATGAAGGAATAGTAAAAAATCTTGGTTTGTCGAATTTGGATGAGTTTGAGACAGAACTGGTGAAGGCAGCCATACCTGAATTAACCAGAAATATTCAGAAAGGAATAGATTATGCTAATAAATCATAATTGAACCAAATAGAATACTGTTTAATGTATGATATATCATAACTATGCAGTGGTTGTGCCTTATTGTGCCATTATCTGTGATGTTTTTTCGGTAAACAAAATATATTCACTTATGCTTTTTTTTTTAAGATGTACAGTTGGGAAAGTTATTTAATTTTATAAATAAACTGAATTAGCCATAATCATTAGTAAATAAACTGAATTAGCAATAATCAGAGTAGATATGAAAATGATAAAGTTTACAGGATCAAGTAGTCCTATCTCCCAAAATTTTGACTGGGCTATCAGATTTTTCAGGGACAAAATTTTGAAATGAGATTTTTAGTTCATTTCATAAAGCAGGTATTATAAAAGATTTTTCAGGGATTATTATATGTAGCTGACTACCACTGGAAAAGTTTTATGCTGGGTTGCTCTAAACAACGAATTATTTTATTGTTTCTAAGGAATACTTTACTTCCTAAAACATAATTGACACTTATAACTAGGTAAATAAATACTTGCAACTGCTGGTATATTTAAGGACTTGACAATGTCAAAAGTTTCCTGTGCAATATTCCAAATGAATTCAGACACTTTTTTTTATTTATAATTTGTAAATACACACAGATTCTTCTTTCCCTCTGACTAAAATCTGGCAAATTTCATCAAAATGATAAAGGAAACTGTGATGTATTTAAGAGCAAATAAGTATTTAATTGGTTTTTCTAAAATATTGTAAGGTGTACATGTTGTCTACTTTCAATGTACTATTCAATTATACTTCAATTGAATTTTCATTGCTGTCCTCTTTTGTTGATGGTTTATACATGAGACCTCTCCAACTTCAAATCATCGAACTCTGGACCATAAATATGACAACTGTAATTAATCTTTATAACATTTACTGTGATATCATTTAACTATGTGGAAGATACATGTAGAATTTAACGTTTATCATTTGCTTCCAACAAAACAACTAAAAAGTAGTATTATATGTTTTTGCATATATAAATAATCCATGAATAATAATGAATTATGCAATCCAAGAACAGCTACAGAAGTATCGTATATTTTGTACTTTTACTTTCATTGTGACATATTTATCGAGTCAAGATAGTGCAAAATCTAAATATAAACACTATCTGATAACTTTCAGGTTGGTCTTTTTTTCAAGAAGTTTTTTTGGTGCATTTATTTGATTTCATGTTTTTGTAACACATTTTGTATCATGACAGCTACTTTACCTCTTATACAGTGATTTACTTTGTTTTATTATTGTTTATACTTATTCAATCCATGTTGTATCAAATACTGGTATAAAATATCTTGATTTATATATTTAAACAAGATATGTAATCAGATTTTTGTTTTTGTGGTGCATTTAGCATTGATATGTGTCTTGAAACCTTTTAAAAAGGGGAACTTGGTGAGTGGAAAGGGGGATGGGGAGCTCATTTGCAAAAAATTAACTGCAATCAATGTGAATGTGGTTCGAAATAAATGTGGAAAAACATGAAAGTAAGACAGCAGAAAATTGGGGATAAAATTGGAGCAAAAATGTCATTGTATTCTATATTCTAATCATGAAGAAAAGTGGTAATTGATGTATATTAGATTTTTTAAGTGATCTGTTTCTTCAAATAAAGGTTTTGTTTGGACTAATTTTAAAGATTATAGTTCTATACATTTCTGAATAAGTGCCAAAAACAATGGACCTTTTTTTTGCAGAGTGGTGCATTTATTTTATTTGTTATAGTACCACTAAAATTAGTCTTTAGTGATGTATACATTGAGAAAATCAAAAATACCTGTCTTTTAATGCCTAAATTTTTGCAAACATTTTGTCTCAATATTTTTTTTATATCATTAATAATTTTACAAAACAATTCCTTTTCTAATGCCTTTATATGATCTACTGGTATATGCTTTTGAAAAAAAAAACATCCATCATTATTCTCTGCCAAACAATTCTTTAAAAGACAGTTTTTGACTGAATAGATTTTGTCAGAACATGTGTTAACTTTGAACATACCGGTAGTTCAGGTGTACATTTGGTATTCACTTCTGTTTGTAAAATAAGCATGTGTTATAAGATCTAGAGAAGGTCTCATGATTTATATTGCATAATTCTTCAGTTTTAGTTTTAAACTAAAAAAAATTACCAACCATGCAACCCCCACCATTTCTTTTGAGCCTGCACTCCTGTTGTTAAGGTGGTATGGGTTCGACTGCAAAATAGCAGAACACAATAGGTTTAGATTTTTAATTAAGTCAACAAATTTCAATGCAGGGCTACAATCTAATAAAGATGAATTTTCATTTAAATGCACAAATTTATGTGATTTATAGTTATAATAAATCGTTGTTTTTTTTACAAAAGTGGAATATTTTTGCCCGATTTAAATTTTTTTAATGTCGCACATTAAGGGGAGGTAACTCAGAAATAGTACACTTTAAAATGGAATCTTATAAGAAATATTTCTGTTTTTTGTTATAGTGGGAAAAACATATGGTGACCCCATTTTTGTGGAGCCTGCGAATTTTATTTTGCGAAAGGGAGACATACAGATCCAACATTTAGGTTCAGTCTGTGTAAAAGTTGTTTTAGACATCAATAACTTTGTCAAACGTACATGGAATTTTTATGAAATTTGGACAGAAGCTTGGTTGTTACCAAAAGACAGTAATCAGAGAAAAATTATGAAAATATATTTTTCATTTTTCTGTATTTTACTGATAAATGGATTTAGTTAATTTTACATTTAACAAAAAGATACAGTCTGGGGTTAAAGTTTTTTTACATATCAATTTCTTTATCAAACCTTCATAGAACTTTATGAAACTTTGGGAGAAGCTTTTTAATGATTAAGAGATACTGTTTGAAGCAAAATTTTGAAAATATATTGTTTTTATTTTGAGTATTTTCTGATAGATGGACTTAGTTTTCTACAGTTTACATTTACAGACAGTCTGGGATTAAACTTTTCACATGATAAATTTGTAAACTTTCATGGATTGTTATGACACCTGGATAGATGATAATCTTCAAGACCATGAAATAGCATCTAAAGAAAAAGTTTGCATTTTCTTTTAAACTCTGTAAATTTACTGATAAATGGACTCACTTTTTAAGTCAAAATTACATTTTTACACGGACAGTAGCAATCGCAGGTTAGACACAGGGTGTCACAGAACCCCTCATGAATTTTTTCTTTTAATATTCTGAAAGCATATTAGAACTATCGTTTAGGTTTTCTTCAATTCTTCACATTTTATGCTTTTTTTCATTATAATCCATACAAAATGTGTCATTTTGTCACCATCTGTAGCTTGAAAACAAACACATGGCACTTTTATTATATCGTTGAACATATCACAATATATACTACATTTGACAAAGTATTTTTATACTCCCTTTCCACCTTAAGCAGATTTTTTATGCATACAGTGATTGGTTTTAGCCTTTATCCAATCATTGCAGTTTATATAATGACCAACATTTAAAAACTAATATCAATGTCCTTTTATTTTATTAGGCTCAAGAGACAGTTAGGTGTATGAGACCACATTTGTAAGTTAGGTGTATGAGACCACATTTGTAGTCATAGATTCTGTATGTTTTGCATATCAAAATACTTTAAGATATTGATGAAAATTGATTTAAATAAAATTTTCAAGGCTATATACAAGTAATGTTGTCATAATGGCATCATTAGTATCAAACTAGTACAATAAAATTAGACACATCTGACCAACTAAAATACTTTTTCCTGTAAAATGGTTCTGTAATTACAAAATGGAACTTTTCCCATTTGGAGACATTCTCTTTTTATAATCATAGACTGTTTTTGAATTTCATTTGCCTGAAAGAATGATGTTTTAATCATTTGTTGTTTTGTGCTGCATTTGTCAGGGTAAATTTAAAGCTACTTGATGGAAGAAATATTGTTTCTGATTTTGCTCAAATGATTGAAAAAAATGTATACCAAAAAACTATTTTCTCCATAATAGTTTGTTATTGTGAAAGTGAATGATTATTGAAAGAAATATTTATTTTCTATTATATAGGCAATTATTGGTGCAAGAAGTATTTATATATTTTATTATTTTATAAAGTGGTGATATTAGTATTTTTGGGAATGGACTGCCATATTAAATATGGTTTTTGTACTGTTGTTTGTTAATTTTTATCTGATGACAGGTTTTCAAAAGCAGAGGATAACATCTAACCCTTTGTAACAGAAAACATTGAAATATCACTAAACAATCCTGTTGTAAGTCCTATCACTTTCGATTTTATCTGGGACATAAAATGTCAGTATAATAGTTACAAATTTTATTTACATTACTTATACAATTAGAGTCCAGTCACTAACATCTAGTACCTCTATCATAATTTTTTACTGGTGACTTATCAGTTCATATGTCATTTCAAAGGTCTTGGTTGACAACCTTAAAACATCCCACATGCACAGTCGACAATAACTCAAAAAAACATTTATTTTTAAAATTTTGATGTGTACTATTTAATGATTTAAACTGATCAAACAGAGTTATGAGGAAGAATGACTGAAATAGATACAACATAAGTTTTAAACTTCACTATCATGAATTGGTTGATCTATTCAATGTGTTTATGTATGTCTCAACTCACTTGCGACATGCTTTCGTGGTTTTGGATCTGTATCACTATAGTCTTCTGATCTAAAAATTAGCCGATTGTGTCCTATTCCTGATTTTGACATTCCGATATTCTGACTTTTTTCGGTTTTGCCTTGAAGCTTACCCTGTTGACGCAACAGGTCTTGTTGCTATTCGAGTTCATGCAATTCCCTCAGGGTTTTTTTTTACTTTGATTGTATGCTCTAAATGTCTTTATGAGATTTGAACATGGGTAAACTACTGAGTACTGTTGCCTCAACTGCTCAAAATTTCTACAATACGTGTTGCCTTGTAGGTACAGATTATGTGTTTGTAGCTCTTTTCGTCGTTTTCGTTTAGATATTCGCCCTTATCAATAGCATGAGTCAGCCCTTCAAACATTTTCTTCAAGAAGGAAATATATTCATTAATTTGAAATGTCTTCCCAAATTGCATAACAGCAAATTTCAATCAATATCCGTATTTTCATGCAAGTATCTAAGTAATGGATATTGGGCTGGTGATACCCTCAGGGACTAGCTATCTACCAGCAGAGGTATATACCCAGTGGTTAAGTAAAACATTAACGGTACCAATTTTAATACACCAGATTGCGCATTTAGACAATAAATGTCTCCAGTGATGCTTGAGGCCAAAGTGTTTGAAAAACCACATACTCAACAAACTTTGAAGAGCTGATCAAACCAAAAGGAGCTAGAGTATAGCCAAATCTTGGTTAGGAATCAGAGCATTGCATGAGGAAGATATATTCCATGATCTTAAATGATTCTGACAAATGTGATAACAGCAATTTTCAATCAAACAATATTCGTATTTTCATGCAAGTATCTAAGTAATGGATATTGGGATGGTGATACCCTCTGGAACTAATAGTCCACCAGCAGAGATATCAACCCAGTGGTATGAATAAGAACATGATTAAATTCTCTAAAATGATCATCATTCACGAATATCATGATTACCAGTATTTATCAGACTCTTGATGGTGTTTTTACAATGATTAACAATTCTTAGAATATAGCAAAGTACTCTCGACCAATGAAATTGTAGGATTGGATGCCTCTTAATTGTGAAGAATGAATGTAAATCATGTTCTTAGTAAGGGATTGTACTATTATTTGGGTCTATTTACAGTTCAAAACAAAGAGTTTCTATAAATGAGTTACAACTGCCCCGAAGCACATTTATCAGATTGAAAGGATTTATCACAAAGTGATTGAAACTGACTAAAAGTTGAATTGTGAAACAAACAAAAATCTCAAAATAAGTTGAAGCAGAGACATATAATAAATTGTATTATATGTCTCTGGTTGAAGTTTACTGGTGCAGTAAAATTGGAACCGTGAATTTTATTATGAAAATATTAATAACTTCAAATTACTATAAAATTAAACAATCAATACCAAAGCAATGCAAAAAAAAAGAAGAAAAAAAATCTTTCAGATAAAAAATAAACTAAATCTTTAGCTTTCCAAAACTTTGCTTACTTGATCAGCGGTTGGGGAGAATAGTTATTTCCAATACATGTTTTCCGATAAAAAAACAGGAATTTAATTTTGAACATATTAAAAACTTTTAAGGGCATTATTTTTGAACATTTCCCTGACATAATGAAACAGTATTTGATGTAAAAAGCCGGACCAATTTATTGGCTGTGAAATAAAATTTAGTTGTAACTCAAATGTATTAATTGATATAAACTGTAAATAAAAAAAAGGAGAATTCCTTACTAAAATATTACATGATTTACATTCATACTCACAATCAGGAAACATACAATTCCTACCATTTCTTTCTACTGTTGTGTCACCTAGTATCTATAACGCATTTTTTTTTTAAATATTTCCCAAATGATAAGATAGTCCTCACATCACTAAAACTAATCCATAAATGACATGCAGAAAAAGGAAGTCATGCATCAATTATAAACATTGCACTGACAATGAAACTAATTTTTGAATAGATCATTTGAGCCTTGAGCACTTTACAATATTCTAAGTTTGTAAGAGAATGATAATCCCTTACTTCATGATAAGTACTCGCTAAAGCTCGTACTTATTCATGAAGAAAGGGATTATCATTCTCTTACATATACATAGGTTATTTACTTTAGTAATCACCTGTGATTGTGGGTGTATTCAATGGTTTAATTAAATCTTATTAGCATTGCTCAGGATTAATTGATAAGATGATCTCTTTTTTTAGGGCTAAATCCTGTTTATTTTTTTATATAAATGTGCTGTTCTCTCTTGTTTTAAAGTCGATTGTGAAGAGTTTTCTTACTTATCCTTGTATCCCTCTAGTTTGTTTGGTGCTCTTTGCACTGTAGTGAACTCATTATGTTTTGATATTCCATACTCCATACTCCATAGATGATCTTACTAGTGAAATATATACTGTTTTCTTGTTTTCCTGAGAGCAGTACAGTATGTTCCTTCTCAGAAAGCAAAACATTATGTTTGCCTTTATTGATGTTTTTGATCTGTTGGTGGTCCATCTAAGACAATCCTCTGAAATTTGAGCCTAGGTATGGGTTATTTTGACCTTGGATAACGTATCAATTCAGACTGTTAAATCTTTTGGCTTTTGTTTTTTAAGGCTGAAGATAAAGCATATGTTTAACCTCATTCCCCAGCTTTTCCCATACATATATTTGTAAGGATTTTTTCAGATCTACTCAATTCTTCCAAGTTTTTTAGCTGTCTTTATGGCTCTATGTAACAGTCGTGTGGATGATTTTGTGAAATAAGTGAGGTCTATATGATATAAGAAAGAGTAGTGGCCTTAGTACTTTCTTTGAGAAACTCGGAGATTCAACCGGTATTTCCTCTGTCTCGAGTATATTTAGCAAGTTGTTAACTTATTCTCGATTTCCATACTTTCCCATTTAGAACAGTAGTTTCTAGTGTTCAACCCTGTCGAAAGCTTTGAAGAAATCAATAATTACAATGTCAGTAAAAGGCAAATGCTTTCGTGAAGTCATTTAAGTTTATTCTTTATTGGGTTTCGCATGCACGAATATGTAGATCTAAAACAATGATTTAGTGATGTAAGTTTCCCATGCCTTTCGGCCTTTCGAAATGATTCAAGATATGTAAAAAGATTGTGCAGATACCAAGGAGGTATATAATGCGTTCAAGAAGTTTACATGGTACATTAACGCTAACTCGACTATAATTTTCATACAGGAGATATTTGCATATGATGTCAAGTCTTCTGGTAGTATCCAAGAATATGTTAATTATTGAAAGCTTATGACAAAGCCTGGTGTTACTGCGATTGTGCATTCTTTAAGTGTTCTGTCATCACGGTATACTATCGGAAGTCCATTACTAGGGCTAGTATCTATCTAATCAAAACACTTTTGATTAACTTTTCTAAACTGTTTTCTGTAATAGTTAGTTTCAGTATATATTGATATTGATATTCCTTGTGTACTTTAGATTCGGTAATATTCCTGGTGTATTATTGAGGCTTTTCATTTAAGTAATATAATTCTTTTATTAATTAGTTTACCATTATTCTTTAAGGAGGATCTTTTAATATTGTTGGTTTTGCTTTATTTGTTGTTTTTGCAGCCAGAAAGTCCTTTGGTGATTGCCCCAATTTTCTTTTAAATAAGTATAAAATAAGTAAATATAGCATTTCTTAGGTTTGCTACATCGATAGTATGGTCCGTTACTATAAATCGCTTTCCTCGACTCTGTGAACCCTCCATTATTCATTTTTCTTTTGCGGTTAGAATTTGGCTTGTGTAACTGAGCTTTTGCCCATTTTATTGAAATGTCCTCTTTTACTACATTTGTGACATATCTTCTCAGCTTTCATGTCGATCCGTCCCAAGTCGATCTGGCCCCATATTTAAAGTCGATTCGGCCCCAACATAAAAAATGTTTATAAGGAATAAAAATAAAGATAAATATGAATTGTAAATTTTATATTGATATAAAAGGAGGACTGTAAAAAAGATGGCCTTTGACGAATATTTGAATATTTAATTTTCATAAGATGAGACATTTATTTGAATATTTGTTTAAATTTATATTAAGATTTTATATAGAAATGTAATATTATTTTAATATAAAATATTTTAATTCAAATCAATTTATCACCTTAATTGAATGCGGATGATTATGCAGTATAAAACAATTATGTTGATTATGCTTATATTACAATTCAATTCAATTCAATTCAATATTTTATTTACGTCTCACCTTATATATAAAATTACACAATACATTTATAAAAGATCCATTTTGTATAAATAAGCCAATCTGTACAGATTTATGAGAGACGATAACAACATGTATGTACATTAATAAATATTAAACATGAATGGTAAAATTATACAACATAATTATTCAATTATTATTTACAATATAAAACTTCTCGGCGTCTTTTCAGAATAAAATTACCGGTTTTGGCACATAATCTTATAATATCATGTTTCTAAAATAAAAATACCATTTTCTGACAATCTGTGAAACTATTAATATGTTCATCAATTT